TTAAAAAGTTGTGTGTGTGTAGTTTAACCCAATAGCTAAAGTAAGGAAGTAAATTTCATATCATTTACTTTTTAACCCTAATTTACTGATTAGGAAACAACTTCTTTTTCAAGAAAAGACACATTTCAAAATATGGTGGTAGTAGAAAAGCAAATGATAACAATGGAAGTGATTCTGAAGACATGAACAAAAAAGTTCATAGTAGTTTACTCAGAAGTGCAATCCCTCATAATCTGAGTTCAATTTGTAGCCATAATTGACGGTGAAGTGCTAAAACTACAGGATCTTATCTGTACAAATGTATCAACTAATGAAGCAATGAGACCACCAACATTTAAGTAGCTTAAAAAAATACTATTTAAGTGCCTTTTGCATACCAAATATAAGAAATAAGTAAAAAAAATCAGAAGAATTCTTTGAAAGAGAGTAATGAATTAAAAACTTGACAGAAGCAGATTTTAACTATTTCTCATAGAAGCAGCTTTGTAGGCTTCTCAGAAAATAATATTTGAGGTTACGAAGCCCAAGCATCAATACAGCTGCTGAGACGCGATTGCAAGGCTGTATCAAAGATGGCGACTTAGAAATGTTGATCGATACTGTGGTAAGGACGTGGCTCCAGTGCCCTTGTCCGGTGAAATCATAGTTGGACATATTTGGGAGCTGACTAATGAGATGGAAGGCTAACTCATAGGGGAAAAAAATGAAACTAGCAAAGTATTTCTCCTTGAAACTAGAGGAATACACAAATACTCTTCACGTGACCCTCCATTGAGTATAGGTATGATTTAAACATGACCGTGATGGGAAGAAACAGTTCTTTTATTTTCTCAGCTTCGTGGCCAATAAACACAACTGTGAGCTGTATAAAACTATGAAGGATTACGCTGTCCATAAATGTGTCTGGAGCTAGGATTTTGTGTAGGATTATATTCTGATGGCACAGCTGCAATGCCTGGAAACATTCTGGGTTCATTACCCAGTTTCAGGAACTTGTGCCAGAATGTAAATCAACATACCCCTTCCTTCGTCAAGAAAGTTTCGCTGTAAAAGTCAGCTGAACCAAATGGGAAATTCATAGATCTGAAATCCCTTTCTTCCATAGAAAGATCATTTAAATTTCATTATGATGTCAGAGGGTAAGTTGCTGGAAGTGGCTACTGGTAAAGGACTGAAGACAAATTTTGCTCCATTTTGTATAAAAATTCTAAATGAACAACCCAGGCTTGCTCAAATTACTCTGAAATATCTTCTTCCAGTCTGTCAAAATACCCCAGTAAGACTGGTTTCCTTACTATGAGTGTTATTAAAACGGAGCATTTGGAAAGCTTAGAGGTACGTTGCTACCTACAAGTAGCATGTTATCATCAACTCAAGCAGGCTTGGAGAGTGAGTAAACAAGCTCAGTTGTCACATAAAAACCCTTAAATACTTATGTGAATGGTGCTGTTCAAATGATGCAGTTAGGCATCTAATATATGAATCTTATTTCATTCATAAATTTTTGCTTAGTTATGTCGTTGTACCAACCAAAAGTTAACGAAGGTAGTAGGGACTGACTAGGTTAAATTGTACATCCACTTTCAAGAACAATATATTCAATTTTTATAATTTTTCCCCTTTTTTGTTCTGCTTATTTGTATTCAAATGTATGTCTAACAATCTAGTAATAAATGAATTTATGTAAAAACTGGACTTGTATTTTGTATATCTTTGTTTTTAATTTTTTGGACTTTTTTTTTTATCACAGGACTCTCAGAAACTTTAATATGCCAGTGTACAATGTGAATCTCCAAGAGACAATTAAAGCATGAAGCATTTCCTAAACTTACTTGACCATGAAACCCGTTGTACTGTTTCCATGGAAGCCAGTTTGTGAAACTCTTCTCTTCCAGCTTCCTTCTCTGACCAAACTCGCCTATTTGTGCTCATCTGAACTCCTCTTACTTTCCTGCTTTAATATACAGAAGTTTGGTGAAATGTCCAAGAGCAGTGCTAGGGCTACACGGCACCATTTGATCCATGTGCTATTCAATTTCATGACATTTTCCATTAAGATGGTTTTCGAGTTCCTAAGTCCTAAGTCCTAACCATAAATATTGTAAAAATAGATTGTGGAACCCACTACAAATGTTTGAGTTACGTTACAAAATATAGAAACTATTTTTTAAATAAATCAATTTAATAATACTGCTAGATGATATGAGAAGCAGGGGCTCCCCCGTCCCGTCACCGGTCCCACACAGCTGTGTCTGAGCAAGTACAGGTGTGGGCACGGCAGTAGGCAGACGTGGGGTTGACAGGTACGCTTTTCTTCCTTCCTTCTTCCCCACAATGACTCACTCCCAGGTGGTCTCTGGGACCCGAAGGAAGGAAGTGGCTCATCTGCACTAGCTCTCGCGAGTCACTCTGTGGCTGAAAGGACCGTGGCGGAGAGAGCTAGTCTTCACACAACCTTGCTGAGGGAGCACAACCACCAAAATCGTCGGTAAAGGGAAATTTTAGCAGCAGTGAAATGAAAAGAGGAAGAGAAAGGATGGGGCCAAGCAAGTCTATGATTTAAAAGTCTGTTTGGTTCCAAATCCAGATGAAACACTGGCTGTATTTTGTATGCCTTTGTTTTTAATTTTTTTATTGTATTAAAAGGAGTATTCATCTATAACAGATTGAAAATGGAAAAAAAGGGAGTAAGATCCTTTACAATAGAGTATGCTGCTTTAGAAGGCCAATATGGTACCAGGGAATCCATGGGACCACATGAGTATGCTTACTCAGAAGCTACCATCCTAGGCCTCAAAGAATTCCAGCCCCAAAGGCCCTGAGGCTATGTCCAGGACCCATGCAAGCTTCTTCTCTGGGAGAATACTGTTGGAGGAGACCAGTGCTTTCAGTGTGCAGATTCCTAGTTATGAGGGTGTAGGCCGAGCTAGGATACACAAGCCATGCATGCTGAAGGCCCCTTACAGTGTGAAGTGGAAAAGAAGGAGACAGGCTAGGGGCTTAGAGCCAGCTCATCCAGTGGCATCATGTTCCAGCATGAACTCCATAGAATTCAAATCTGACCCAGATTAAGAAGATATATTTGTTGCACAGTGAAGGAAACCATCAACAAAACAAAAAGACAACCTACTGAATAAGAGAAGATATTTGCAAATGACATAACTGATAAGGGGTTAATATTCAAAATACATAAAGAACTTATACAACCCAACACCAAAAAAACAAATAATTTGATTAAAAAATGGGTAGAGGAGCTGAATAGACATCTTTCCCAAGAAGACATACAGATGGCCAACAAACACATGCTCAACATCATTAATCGTCAGGGAAATGCAAGTCAAAACCACAATAAAAATATCACATTACACCTGTCAGAATGGCTAGAATTAAAAAGACAAGAAATAACAAGTGTTTGGTGAGGATGTGGAGAAAAAGGAACCTCATGCCCTGTTAATAGGAATGTAAATTTGTACACCACTGTGGAAAACAGTTCCTCAGAAAATTAAAAATGGAAATACCATAAGATCCAATAATTCAACTACTGGGTATTTACCCCAGGAAAATGAAAACCTTAATTTGAAAAGACATATGCACCCACCCTTATGTTTATTGCAGCATTATTTGCAATTGCCAAGATATAGAAGCAACCCAAGGGTCCGTCAGTAGATGAATGGAATCCTATCTACAATGGAATATTACTCAGCCATAAAAATAGTGAGATCTTTCCATTGGTGACAGCATGGATGGATCTAGAAGGTATCATGCTAAGGGAAATAAGTGAGTCAGAGAAAGACAAGTGCCGTATGATTTCACTTAGATATGGAGTCAAAAAACAAAACAAATGAATAAACAAAAAAGCAGAATCAGACCTATAAATACAGAGAACAAACTGGTGGTTGCCAGAGGGAAGGGGTCGGGGCATGAGCAAAATGCATGAAGGGAAGTAGGAGACACAAGACGGTCTTCCAGTTATGGAATGAATATGTCACAGGAGTAAAGGTATAGTGTGGGGAACACAGTCAGTGGCACCGTGACAGTGTTGTGTGGTGACACATGGGAGCTGCAGCTGGAGCGAGCGCAGCATAACATAGAGAATTGCAGAATCACTATGTTGTACACCCGAAACTAATGTAACATTATGTGTCAACTACACTCATATATTTTTAAAAAGGTCTATCTGTCAAGACAAAACGATCTAATGTATTTATTTAACAGTTGCTAGCTTCATTTATGACTTTAGAAGTTTTAGACATTTGGAATGTGGGCCTCCAGTTTGTTCTTTTGTCCGGGCCCCACAAACATTGAGGGAGGACCTATCCCAGATATACATCAAAACTAGAGCCCTACATTCGGCAGTCGGCGGAGAGGGGATATTTGAAGCTGAGGGAGAGGCAGTCAGGTGTGAACAGGTGCAGTCCTACATTCAGGCTGCCGGCTCTGAAACGCTCACAAGCAACCTCCTAGCTGTAGACCTTTGGACTGTCTTGCTGTACCTCAGCTTTCTCATCTGTAAAATAGGATGTTCATGGCACCGACTTCATGGGATGATTTTGAGGTTGAAATGAGTTCACCCATGTAAAGCACTTAGAACGGGCTTGGCCTCGAGTAAGCTCTCAACACCAAGGGAGCAGCTAAATTACATGGGGAAAGAATACCGAGCAAGAACAGCAGACGATCAGGGGCACCCTGGAAACAAAGTCCAGAAATAATAGAAAGGGAGGAGAGAGTGTCCAGCACCCACCACAGGGCCTAGCAGGTGGTAAGTAAGTGCTCAGTAAATGTGGATGGATTTGAAAAATATCCTGGGCAGGAGACAGAAGGAGCCCTTCACACTGAATGCAGCAGAAGGGTCAGATGGGGGAGGGAGGGTACTGATCAAAGCCGATTGAATTCACAGGCAGGAAATACCTTGAAAAGGATGTTTCATCCCACAGGAAGTGAGATTGCAATAGATGAAGGAACAAGTGGGTAGCTATTTCTCTTTTTAGTTTAGTTTAGGAACTCTAGTGGAAACTTCTCTCTTTAGAAATTAGTGTAGACAATGAAAGAGATAAAACAGTAGCTTGAGGGGCATGCAGGGTTGAAAGAAAGTTCTTTTGTGTGGCTGAGAGAAAGAGCAGTGGGAGGAAGGGATGATTAATGGAGCAAGAATCTAGAAGAAGGATGGGAGGAGAAGAAATCGAGAGAAAAAGACCTAGGGGTCAGTCTGACAAAAGAACATTCTGCCTGAGGCGAAGGACGTGGGGAAAAGCGATAAGAATATAGAACATTTCGAAGGATGATAAACTGAAGTTCTTGAAGTTTGTGCAGGGGAACTTTAATTTCCGGACGAGCAAATACGCACAACCCAGTGGTGGGAAGGTCAGTACCTTATGTGTTGCGGCCAATGCGGTAGGTGACTCGCACATTCTAGCCCCCAGCTGGCTTACCTTCCTATACTACACACGGTCCCCAGGCCAGATTTAGCCTGTGATGGACTGAGAACCAGGAATGGTTTTCACGGTGTTTGTTTGTTGGATTGTGGTAAATTATACCAAACATAACATTTACCATTTTAAAGTATACCATTCAGTGGCATTAAGTACATTCACAAAGTGCCACTGTGTGCTTATTTATCTTGGAAGTTACCTCATCTTCAAGGTGACTCAGGTGGGCAGGTAGAAAAGGAGGGGAATGCTCTCGACCCGGAGGTAATAATTCAGAATTCTAATCTCAGTTAATTCCGTGTGTATGCTGAGTAAGTCACTTCATTGAGAGCTGCTCCCCTTTCTTCCAGCCAACATTATGCTCTTGAAAAAACAAAGTGCTCAAATTAGAATGCTTGCTTTATTGCTATTCATGTGTGCTCTCTATTTTCCCACACAGCCGCGCGGGTGAGTAATCGTGACATCACCGCACACACACACACACACACACACACACACACACACACACTCCTTATATGAACTCTGCTACAGGAATGCACATGATGTTCAGACCCCTGCTTTTTTTTCCCTATATGATTAATCTCTCTATTATTAGAGATTTTCTTCCTGACTTGAATATACTGGTCCTATCGAGAGAATAACATTTCTTAACATTTCTCTCCCATGGTTCCCTCTCCCATAAAAAGGAAATGTTTCCAGTCTTGCTCCATGTGAGAGAAGCTGGGAGAGGGAAATGACAGAGAAATGAAGAAACTAATTTAAAATAGAATAGAGGGGAAAACAGCACACACACTTCCTAACAGCTGACAAGATGACTCTCGAAGTCAGAACAGATGAAATAAGACCCAGAAAGTCGATAACTAGTCCTACTGGTAGGGAAAATAAGAGGTCTGTCAGAGAAAAGCACGTTCTTGCAGAGGTGAGAAGGGTACTCTTGAAGTCCATACCCAGGAGACCCTGTCACTTGGGCCCTTGTGTTTTGTAGGCAAAGAACAGCCTGTGCAATCGCTTCTGCCCCAGCCAGCTCGTAACAGGCAACACCAGACATCTGAGAGATAATTAGCTGCTTGCCCTTCATTTTCAGCCTACAACTAGACAATCGTGGGTGCAATTATTTGTGTGTACCGATAGATAAAGAACTACCCGCCTTGTGAAAGGGAAATAGATAGAAGCGGGGCCCTCTTTTAATAAGTCAGTGTTTAAAATCCAAGCACGCATGTAATTTGATTAGAGGAAGGACACCCCTGGCTTCTTTGAAATTACATTTTTATACTTTAGCAAGTGCTTTCCCTGGCCCATCTGTGGGCCTCACCACAGCATCATTAGCATGGTACAATCATAATTAAACCCTTCGTGAGAAAGGCCCCATCACAGCCAGACCGGCCGTGGAGCCCACCAGACCACAGAGGTACCCGACAGCCAACACACAAATGGCACAAATAAAATGCCCAAAGGTCGAAGGATGAAAGTTATTGCATCTTGCTGGAAATGTAAAGACATCCACCAAAGGGCGTCCAGCGCGGGGTCGGACACTTGGAAGGTACGCGGCGCAGCGAGTGTTTCCTGAGCCAAGGCTCCCTTCAGGCCTGCACAGCACTGAGAGCATGCCCTTACTTGAGCCCTTCGTGCTCTGTGTTGGTCCCTCTCCCTCAGGGTCTTGAGAGCTACGGTGGGGACAGGCCCGTGCTATTTTCATCTTCTAGTTTCCTCAGCTTATTTCTGTCCCTGGAGGCAGAAAGCAAATTCACACTAGCTTCGATCCAACAAAAGGAAACAAAATGAGTGGCCAACGGAGGCAGGGCTCTTGGCAGGGCTCTGTTTCTTGCTTCCAGGCTCTTCCAGTAAGCAGGCCTCCTCCACTTTGCTGCCGGTGGCCGTCCGCCATGTACAAGCTACTGGCTCTTCAGTCAGCCTGCAGAGGCTTCAGTCCGGGCCTACCACTTACCTAGAAAGGTTCCTTAACTGCTGTCAGGAGTTTCTATCTCTGTAAATGGGGAAAATAGTAGCAATACCTACTGTATTGGGTTATTGTAAAGATGAAGTGAGTAATAGATGTAAGGAAGTCACATAGAATGTGCTCAATACATGTAAACTGTGTTAGTGATTCTTGTTGCCTTTAATGGAGGAGGCAGGGAGACAGATATGACAACAGACAATTCTAGGCTTATTAAACACCCTACCTTAGTGACCCCAAAAGAAAGAGGGAACAGTTCCATCTCTGCATCTGTAGAAACAATCTGGGGGAGGGACTCTGATTAACCAAGCCTTCTTACGGTTTACTGGATTGCAGGCACATCATAGGTCATTCTGTGCATTACCTCCATTAATTTTCACCATGATATAGGTGCCATTTTTATCCTCATTTTACAGATGAGCGAACTGAATCTTCCAGACATTTAATAGAGAGCGTGCAGAGATGGGCCACCTTTTTCTGTAAAGAACTGGATAGTAACTATTTCAGTCTCAGCAAGCCATCTGGTCTCCATCACAGCTACTCGACTGTGTCGGAGCGTGAAAGAAGCAGCACACAATATGTAAACAAAAGAACATGGTTGTATTCAAATAAAACTTTTCATCAAAATTCAAATTTTATAATATTCATGTGTCAGGAAATACTATTCTTTTGATTCTTTTTCCCAATCATTTAAAAATATAAAAACCATTCTGAGCTCATGGGCCGTACAAAAATAAGCAATAGGCTGGATTTGGTCCTTGGGCTGTTGTTTGCTGACATTTGAGTCATTTGCCCAAAGCCACACAGCTAAAAATGGTGGATCCCAGCCTTAGGTCCAAGCAGCATGACTCTGGAGTTCACACACTTAAACACATCAGCCTCTCATTGTGTAAAAATGTATTATTGATGAAGAATTGAGTCAATGAGACTGGAAGGAAATACTTAAGACTTTGCAATAAGCAACGGATACTACTGGACAGGCTCTCAGTGGAATGCCAGAACCTTCAAGGATGTGGCTTGGCCATTTTACACTCTCTCTCTTGGAGCAAGCTGATAGTAGGCCTTGACTATAGACGTGCAGATAAATTCTATCTGGCGGAGGAACAACCCTCTTCCCACAGTGGAAAAGTCAGTTTTGTGTCCACTTGTAGATTCTTTTCAATATCTCTCATCTCTTAATATGTCTGTTCTTTGGATTCTCCTTTGAGCTGGTTGTAACATCTGCCTGGTTCTCTCAGTAAATCATGAGTTAAAATGAAATCTTTAACCCATATTTATTTGCTAATCTGAATGAGGGTCAAGAGTCTACCTTGTTTGAAAATTATCCTTTAGCAGTTTTGGAGGCCTTCCAGGAGGTGCCCAATACACTCCCCTGACAGCTGGGTAAACTCCCCCAACAGAAATGGCGCATCTCTGTGCAGTGTAAATCCAAGCACATCTTTTCTTGAGTTCTAGAGGTAAATTAAAGCAGCAGTAGAACTCTGCATGCTTCCTGGTTTTCCAATTTTAATTTGATCTCTACTCATTTTGTGTTTTGATTTGTTTACAGCCAACAGGTTTTCTCCCGGTGGTGATAGCATGACTAGGAATTTAGTTTATGTAGTGATGTGGTAAAGGGATTATTGGATTATAGAGATCTATTCTCTGTTAGGTGGCTTGTTAGTCTTTTTTATGTTTGTCTATTTGACTACTTTCTGCTAAGTCAGAGACAGAAAGGGAGAAATTTGAAGATGCTAGGCTGCTGGTTGTGAAGATAAGGCAAGGGGCCACAAGCCACAGAATGCAGGTGGCCTCTAGAAACTGGAGAAGGCAACGAAATACATCCTCTCCTAGATCTTCAGAAGGAATGCAGCCTCTGGATTTTGCTCATAAGATCCTTTTCAGACTTCTCAACTTCAGAACCATAAGATCATAAATTTATGTTATTTTAAGCCACAAAATTTGTGATAATTTATTACAGCAACAATAGGACACTGATACAGATTCTTTAAGAATAGATCCTTCTTTCTCAGGATATAATTGGGGAAATCTATTATGAGGCCTTCAAAGCCATTTTTGAGAACAATGCTCATTTAATCAGATATTGCAAGCATTTTTAAGGAAAAGGAAAGACAATAAGGAAAAATTTAAGACTTTGAAATAAGAAAAGACACCACTGGAGATTCTTTCAACAAAACGCTGGAGCCACCAGAGACTCTCTGGCTCTATAGGGATGTGCACTTTGTTTTGACTAAGCTATTTTACCACTCTGTAAGTTCTAGAAAATCGAGAGTAATACAAATAATTTTTGTCCAGAGACATGCAAAGAAATTCTATCCAGTGATGGAACGACAAAAGCCAGGTCTGCATCTATTTGCAAATTCATTTCAATATTCCTGATCTAGAAATAAGTCTGCTTATTGGATTCTTCTTTGAATCACTTGTAACATCTGCCTGATTCCTTCAGTAAATGATGAGTTAAATGGAATCTTTAATGTATATTCATTCCATATCTGAAAGTCGTAATTTTATCTTTTTTTTAAGATTTTATTTATTTATTTATTTATTTGAGGGAGAAAGTGGGAGAATGAGTGGGGGATGGGCAGAGGGAAAGGGAGAAGCAGACTTCCCGCTGAGCAGGGAGCCCGACACGGGACTCAATCCCAGGACCCTGGGATCATGACCTGAGTCAAAGGCAGACGCCTAACCGACTGAGCCACCCAGGCGCCCCATAATTTTATCTCTTTTGAAAATTATCCTTTTCCAAGATTCTGCTATTATTAATACTCTTATATATGTTCCTTTAGGGAAACTCAGTATTTTGTGCAGTCCATTTTATGGCCAGATAGCTCTAATTATTAAAAACATACTTCGTCTATTAACTCAAAATTAGCATCCCTCTAATTTCACTTATTTATTCCATTTTTGCCCCAAGAGTTAAATAAGATAGTCTTAAAGATCTTTTTATTTTTTTAAGATTTTATTTATGTATGTGAGAGAGA